GCATATGACACTCTTTCGAATATGATATTTGAAAAGAAAAATTACTGATCATATAAAAATCATAAAGAGTTCACATGAATATTGTCAGTTTTCTGTCATAAAATAAACATTTCATTTCATAGATATTTTGCTTTTAGAAAATTTTAGTGATCAAATGAAGCTCGTATTCTCCTCTTCTCATTAGTATGGATTCAGTTCTTTTCGAACATTTGTGGAAAAAAATAACTCAAGTTAAAATATTGTCCAACAGAAAGTGACGACTGCTCACTGTTACATGTTCAGTTCCACGATCGTTGAATATTTAGAGGTGCGATTTTCTGTGGATGTAGTATAGACGATGCCTGAAATTTTGACGTAAGCTACGTCTCAAAAGCTAATCTAATTAGATAGTTATACTCAAGACAAAATCGCCAAAAAAATATTGTTCACTATTGTATATATATGGACTTATAGTAGCAGGAGATTTTTTTTCTTTTTAGAAATGCTTCATTGACAGATTCTGAAAGGTAAAATTTAAAAAAATGTGTATTAGAGCAGCATGATGCATGAGAAAATTTAATTTGCCTGTTATATTTTAGTTTTTCATAGAATTTATAATTATTTAAATTTATTTTAGTAAAAAGCGACTCGAATTAACTACTCATAAAGCTTATGATGATAATTTGGCTCATGGTTTTGTAACAGTAAATATCAGACATAAACCAGAAATTGAAGCAAAATTAACTCTAGAAGAAAAAAAGGAGCAATTTGCAGCTAATACATTAACTTTAAATGCATTGGCTAAAAAAATAAAAGAAGATGAGAAAAAACAAGTTCAATTAAATTATATAAATACTATCAATAAACAACATGAATTAGCTGCACGAAAGTAATTTCATTCCAAATATTAAAAAAAAAAAAAATTTTTTAATTTAATTTTCTTTCTATTTAGAATTACAGATCATTTATTTGAAGATAAAGCATTTACAGTTGCAACAGTATGTGGTTATTGTAATAGGAAAATATGGATGAAAATTGGCCGTCAATGTCGTGACTGTTTAATAACAATACATAAAAAATGTGAAGATAAATTTAATGCTGAATCAACATGTACACATGAACCAATTCAGTTAAAAATTACTCAAATTCCTACGCCACCTGACGATGATACTAAAGGTTTAGTTAATATTGAATTGAATGATGCTTCGATTGTAGTTACGGATGATACGGATTCAACGTCAATAAAAACTAATAATGAATTAGTACAAAATCCAGTTAAAAATCAACCAACAACCGTACTACCAACAACAGCACATCGTATTTCAACAAAAGCTGCCGCTGCTTTTTCTGTACTTGATTCTACAGCACGTCGTTCATTTCGTGCATTTGGAAATAAAAATGCTAATCCAACAATAACAGGTGTAGCTACAAATCTTCCAACAACATCAGAATTATCAAAGAGTGATGAATCATTAAGTAATTTGAGTATTTCATCAACAGGACTATCAACAATGAATCCTCCCATGCACACATCTTCCAAGTTAGCAAATGCTGCTTCATCAGCTTATAGTAAATTGCGAGAATTTAAATCTAAACGATTACCTCCTAATCCTGAAACTAATCCTATAAAACAAACTCGAGCAACACCAACTTCAAGTAATATTTGATAAAATTTATTTAGAATGAGAATTTCATAAAATCTTCTTTTAGAACCTAATGAAAATATTCTTGAAGCTGATTTACGAGATATCATTACGGTAAAATAAATACGAAACAAATTGTATTTAATAACAAACTAAAGTTCAATTCTTTTTTTTAGACATGTTTATCTAATGAAACTAATGATGTTAAAAGTTTTGAACATTTACTCCATGAAAGAGCTGTTGATGATACAGCATTGTATGCTAGAGCACGTGAATTTGGACAAGAATTATTTCCTGAATTAACACTTGATGAACGAAAACAAAAACTTGATAATGAAGTTAGTAATTATAATAATTTGAAATTTTTCATTTTTTCATTTATTTATTTAATTCAGATTACTCGTTTACAACAAGAAATCGATTTACAATGTCAAATTCGTGATGAAATGACTTGTGAATGCGAAAATAATTCGACAGATGAAAATGAAAAACGAAAACTTCGTGCTAAAATTGCTAATATTGATGAAAAAGTTCAAGCATTAGGTATGTATTTATAGAGATATTTAAAAAAAATAAATATCCTCAAATCATTATGAAATTCAGATATATTTGTACCATGAACTATTTGAATAGTTGGTATTGCCATTCATATTTGTGAATTTTTTAAAAGCAAAAAGCAAAATCTAAATTTAGATTGTATCGAGAACATATTTTTGATTAATGGATAAAGGTAAAATATTAATAAGAGAAATTTTCTTGGACATAATTGCTCAGCGATGCTTTTTGCATTTGGGTAACTTTGAGAAAGGAAAGATTAAACATCTTGGGATTAGCTTTAGCAATCTATATGACTTTCACCGATCTTACTTTGCTTATTTTATTAATTAATATTCTTAAAAATTGAAATATGTATCAATTTTTAGGAGCACTCACTATTCTCTATTGTTCAGGTAAATGTAAATTTTTTTTTTTTCTTTTATATTATTCTTATTTTGAATATTTAAAGGCCTTAAACATTGTTGTACACAAATGGCAACAAAAGAAAGTGCGAATGATACGAACAATGAATTAATTAGTGAACTGTTGGATGAAGATGAAACTAATGAATTAGAAGATTCTCAAAATAATAATTCTGATGAATAGTGTTCATTATATTTATTTACTCATCAGTATAAAAATGAAAATAGTGTTTGATGGAACAAAATATTCTCGTCTAAAAAAGCAAAACAAATCCAACAAATATTAAATATGTGCAATACAATAAAACTGATGAGTTGTATAGCCACATTCTTGCGTGTTTGGAAAAACAAAAAAAAAGTTTTTTCTGCTGTTTATATCTTTTTGTTTTACAATCATCAATGATACTACTAATCATGTTTCCTTTTTCTTTCTCATTTTGTTCATTGTACTAATTTTATGATTAATATTCTATTTTTTTAATATTAGTTCTTGTTTCTTTCTCTTGTGTTCATTTTCATTCGAATATTGAATAATTTAAATTCATTTTTTTTGTCTGTTGTCATAGCTAATGTTATATTTCACTCAGCAATACATGTGCCAGAATCAATATTGATTGATAAGATATTTCATAAGTCGAGTAATACAAGAAAACAATAAACAAAATATCTGATTATTACGAATCATTACTTATAGTTGATCGATGTTAAACAAGAAATAGTACTAATAGATATTACTATTAACCATTCTCAGATAGCGTGGGCTTCACGTCTCATCCTGTACTTTTCTTGATTCTTAGAACGTTCGTAGTTATTCCTGTGACGGAGGGAGAAGCACGATTTTTGTCTACTCTTTTGTTTATTGTTGATGCATAGGAACCTTGCCAAAGAATGTGTGCAAAAATTATTAATGTTTCTACACTCTAAAAAACCTTATAAAAATGAAAGTAATTTATCAGTATTCAAGTACTTTAGTATCGGTTTATTAGGATCTTACTTCTTTTTTGTGAAGAAAAATTTATTATTATTATCAGAACTAGCGTGCTCTCTTGCACAAGAAAATAGACACTTAATTTTAGCTAATACTTAATATTTAGAAACTAATTTTCAATAAATTCAGTTAGATTTAAGATTGATTTATTAATATTCTAGTCTTTTTTATGTTCAAACAAATCGCAATAGTGATTTGTTCTTGCTAAATTAAACATGCATACTGTTTTTGGATAATCATTATTTATCTAATTGATTTATTTTTGATTGTCAAGGTAAAAATAGAAAAAACACATGGCATGTATGTTTGAGATGAGAGAAATATCAATCATTCATAATAAATATGGTTTAATCTTTTGTTCTTTACTTCACACACATGATTCTTTTTAGGGTGACACCGTGGATGAACTATAGAACGCAAGGAAAAATCACATTTTAAGTGAATGCTTGATATTTCTCTCATCTCTAATATACATACAAAGTATTTATTTTTATTTTTAAATTAACAGTCAAAAACAAACCAATCAGATAAATCTGCATTATTCAAAATTGTATACATGTTTTTATTAACAAGATCAAAACAGTGTCTCGATTTGTTTGAACATGAATGAGACTAGAATAATAATAAATCTATCTTAAGCCTAATTAAATTTGTAGAAAAATAGCGTTTTAATATTATGTATTAGCTAAAGTTAAGTGTCTGTTTTTCTTGCACAAGAGAGCACTACTAGTTCATATTAAAAATTTTTTCTCCATCAAACAGACAAGATCCTAATAAGTCGATGCTAAGATAGTTGAATATTGTTAAGTTACTTACATTTTATAATGTTTATTAGAATGTGGAAACATTGATAGTTTTTGTTCAGACTCTTTTGTGTTGGTATAAAATAATACGTAAATATAGCTCATGACTTTACTAAGCACATACAAAATGTAAAATAATTATTCGAATAACCTATAATACACATCTCATGAAGTTTATTTTACGACTAAGAAAGTACCTATCGTCAACTATTTGTCTCTATTTTATTCTAAGCACAAAAGTTTCTTTCAAAAACATTTTTATAAATTCTGGCAGATTTCCAATAAATCATTTGATTTCCTGTACAAAAAATTGTTTAGATAACTGTAGTTTTCCATTCATGATGGCTTTTTTCTACATCGAACTATTTCGCACTGTATGTCATTTCATAGAAACCGTACTTTAGTGACATTCGGTATCACTAAACACTCACGGTAATATTTAGAAAGTATTCATGTATCCGATTTTTAGAAAAACTATCAAAGATCACTGAGCTATAAACAAAATACCAACATGTATTTAAGACTACCGTATAATTATAAACATTCCAAACACATTTTGAACGTAACATCAATAAAATGAGATGGTCTATATGCTAGACATTATCATATAACTATAAGGACTGTCAAGACTACTAAAAACTTTCAGATCCTTAGATCCCCAAAATCGATCAGACATTTGTAATTCCATAGCGTCTCCTCTTCGTTCCAATAAAGAGGAGTACGTTTAGATTATAGATGATAGTAATTATAATTCTCAAGATCCCCTTACACCTCAGTTTCAGTTTGAAATTGCGTACTTGTTTTTATTATAAAATTCAGATTGACACCAAAGAGACCATTGTATGCTTTTTACACAAGTGCCTGGACGACATCTAGTTACTTTTTAAATTATGATTTTGTTTCGTAATCATCTACAACCTTTTACTTTTAACTGCGAACCAGAATGAATCAAAAGATTAGAACGCGTAGTTAATGTAGTGTCAAGAGTTTCGTCACTGTAAAGAAACTTAAAACAAGTGCGCCTCATACGAAATCCTTTTCATAACGAATCGAAATAACATATTAATATTCGTCTACTAAGTACATTCGCATCTTATTTATGTTGCTTTGAAACAAACGGTACACATATTATATTCAATAAAAACTTACTTAAAAAATTTCATTTGATCTTCATAGAACCATAGTCAACTCTTTCAAAGTGATCATAAGTCACTACTTGTTCATGAACTAAATCCCAACAATTTTATATGGATCGACGCACCGAGAAATCCTCTTTCAAACGAAACACGTTCGAATTTGATAGATCACTTTGGCTTCAAGTTTTTCGAAAAATACACAAAAGTCTAAATTAGTATCGTGATAGACATACCTATAGAAGGTGAGCACACAATAAACAACTTATTAGAAATTGATTTTATTACAAAAATATGAAGTTGTGAAGAATCAATGTTTAATTATTTTGACTGGCTAAAAATATATTTGGCTATATCCACTTTGTCAATTGATGTCTTCTGTTGATAGATTGCTCGTATTTCTATTGGTAAAAGACATCTTGACCATATTGACATATCAGCTATAGAACGTTTCCATTTTTTCCATAAGAAGAGAGAAACAGTAGCTGTGCTGCTGTATGCAGCTATCGGTACTTCAACAGTTAACTCAAGCTGACCATTAATCCATAAATTCTGTTGAGGAGTTCGTGCATCTATAATATTATAAAAATCATTAGCTTTCAATCATTAGCATAGATAAGGTTCTTCCATGGGATTTTACCTGACTCTCTTTCTTGTACCAATACGATGTGAAACCATTCGTTTGGTTTTATTTGAACATTAGATTTGACGATATGTCCGCTGATGTTTGATGCAAATACTATTGACAGAAAATTACTTTCGTCTAAAGTCACTCCAGCTGAACGCGCATAATCCCAGTCATCATCACACACCATAAATAAACAACGAGGTTCATTAGCTACATATTGAACAATAGAGCAGTTTATTTTAATTGAAATTATTCACAAAATGGACTTAATCATTAAGATTTATATTCTGTCAAGTTCTAATTATATTGTCATAAAATTTGTTAATTTATGTTTCGATTAGGTATGAACAATACTATGTTTGCATGACTTAATTAACTGTGGCACCAATAGTTGTTTCTAAATTAATTCTGAAAAGAAAAATAATATTTACCCGTTTCACTGATAAGCAACCAAAATGCTACAGTATAATCATTGCCCCTATCGATGAGACATTGAGATTCATCAATATTTAACTGTTCAGAATTTTCATTTTCGTAAGTCAAAGATATGCATTTGCCCAGAAAACAATCGGTAGTTGCGAAGTTAACAAATGGGTTATTCTGATCAGTGGCATTTACATTAAAATTCCACCATCGGAGTAAACTTTTTCTGCGATGCTCATCATTGAATTTCCAAAAATGCTCAATTATAAATGGGCTAAAAATGAGTTGTCGCCATAGTCGACATGTTGTCGATAGTTTTAAAGCATGATTAAATGATTCAGTAGATAAGAGAAAAATCTTTTGTAAGATTTCTGTTGATAAGACATCATTAATGCATAATAGAGAGTTGCTCATATCTAGAATATTCATCAACTCTTTATTATTTAAGTATATATAAAAACATGTCAGGATTATTATTTTTCGATTATGATGTAGCTTATTAGTGAGTATATTGAATAATTGAACGGTGTTTACAGAGACTCAATTGAGAGCAAATAATTGATATTCATTTATGGTTTCTTTCAAATAACTGAGACTTCTGTCGTGAAAACTACAGTGGCTTATTTTGGTTACTTGATTCATTTCGAAAAGAGATGATAATGTATGCTAGTATGAATAACAAAATATTTAATGAAGAGAAGGCGAATATTTTACCTTTACAATAATAGTATATGAGTGAAATGAATTGCAGAGATTTATTGCCTACTTTATATGAATTTTTCGTTAGTTCAAAAAGTCTCTTTAAAAAGCGAGATATGTTGCTTTCCACTTTTGAGATACTTAAGTGTAGCAGAAATCATCAGAATCGGAAGCATTTTAAATATCTTACTTCTACTGGAAGCATTTAGCAACCAAAACGTTGGCAACGTAACGAACATATAGACTATATTGAAATCAATTGCATTGATCGAGGTATTAGCTAACAAAAATGGGAGAAATAAAAAACAACACTTGCATAGAGGACGCCACATAAAAAATCTATGTGTGAAGCAATGTTGGAGAAATACTCTTCCATATTCTGAAATATGTTAAAATGGAATAAATGTTTGAAAAAAAATAACATTGATCGAAGTTTGTTTCATAGACATATAATCTGATCTAGATGGTTCAATGGTAAAAACAAAAAAAAGCAGTCGAACAATATCTACC